GGGTAGTGTCACTCACAAAATTTCACAGACCTCTGATTAAAATGTTCAGGTAACTGAGCCCATTTATTCTGTACACTGTCAAAGTGGACTTATGCTGTGACTGTCTTTGAGTCTAGGCTCTGTTTTCCTGTAATGTTTAAGTGGAAACAAAATTTTCCGTACTATGATCACTTAACAAAATAGCTGAGATAAAGAATTGAGTAGAAGAAAATTACACGTGAGGGACCAGAAAATGGATCTAATTTTATAACATTTGTACACCCCTGAAAGAGTGCATATGGAAAGCCAAGCAATCATCACAGTTTATCTCCATGTGACATTTCCAAATGCTATTTATATATTTTCTGGGTCAGTCTTTTATGAAAATAGCCATGTATGCCAACTATCTAATGACCTGGCATTTGAAACCAATTCAATTTATATGTTAAATTTGATGTTAGGGGAAAAGCAATACACTTACCACATTTTCGTTCTGTATGACTAGTTGTCGTCTTAATTTGTCTGGAAACATCTTTTTATTTTCCAGGAGTATCTCATGAGATATAAAGGAGCATAAATCATTCTAGCTCTTCTACTACTGGGAATTACTGTTAAGGGTAAATTTTGGCCTAGTCAATATACATCACAGTGATACATAAAACCAGCACCAGCAATGCCCGTAATATTCTCCAACAACTATCTGCATCTCATGGAGAAAGTGAGAAATCAGCTGTGTAAAGTTGAACTGGGCAGTAATTGAAAGCAGCACTGTTTTCTAATTTATTAGCAAAGATGGAAGGTTTATAGTTTGCATGATGTTGGCACACGCTCTCCTCTCTTTCCTACTCCTGAATATTTCTGCAGGCTCCAAGGGATGGTGAAGTGCCTGGAAAGGATGCCTTGAATGTGACAAATTGTTATGGCTCATGGACCCTTGGACAATGACCTCTTTTTGTGTTTTTCACGCAAAATATGAAAGAGATAAGGAATTCACTTCATTTAGAGAAGAAAAACAACTCTATGCATAAATTGCTTAAATGTCATGGATAAGTCAAAAAGGCTGAAAAAGTTAGGACTGCTCCTAGTTTTTGTTTGTTTCCATCTCCTCAAAAATACATGACAATGCATCGAGGCACTAGGGAGCTTCTTGACCAGTTTGCATGTATGGGCTGATGCCAACATGTAACTCAGAGCATGGCTTTGTGTGACAGCATGCATGCCGTATGGCTATTTTCAGTAAATTTCTAAAAAAGATACAGAAAATGTTTAGAGTATTTTGGATTATTCTGGATTATATAGATTCTTACAAACTGCTGCATTATGTTTTTTGTTTATGAAGTTTGTTGGAAGATTTCTTGAAATTTTCAGAGTGCTTCAAATCCTCCAAAAATCACAGAATAATAATTTAACAAGGAGTAATATCTGTTTTGATTTTAGGTCCCGTGTTTATTCTTACCCATGGAGCAGGCATAACTCCTAGAGAGTGAGCTCTGTTCACGTGTGACTGCATCCAGTGAACCACAATTCCTTTGCAAAGCAAGATCAGATATAGATCTTTGTTCCATCTCCTGATAAATTCTGCTTGGGATGCATAGAACTAATTCAACAATTTAAAATTATTAAAGAGATGTTAAATAAATATAGCTTTCTTTACAAAGCTTTTTGAGACTCTTTGTTTTTTTCTAAACAGTTTTGACAGATTGCATTATCCCACCTAAACTTATGAATCACAGAAGGTTGATATTCCCCACATACCCTAGATATCCTATTCACATTCTGAAAATATTCTCTACAGGGAAAGGAGTATATAACCACAGTGTCTTTACCATTTGACAAACATCTTTAAATCCCTTTTAATTTTTGTAATCTTGGTAGTTAAAGAAAATTCACCATTCTGACTACACCATCCAAATGCTAACAATGAAAAGTCGCAAACCTTCTTTATGCTGCACGACAATAAAAACAGAGCAATTGAAATATTTTTTAAAATATTTTTAATATTTTTAATATAATAGCAACATCTGTTATTGTTTAATATGCTTGTAAACCCAGTCTTAAACAGAAAATATTTAAGTAAAATAAAACTTCAAGAAATTTTTCTTTCTTAAAGATCTGTCAAATACTGAAAAATTTTGCAGACCTGGTTAGCTTTTAATCACATTAAATACTTTAAAATAGTATTCAGTCACACGATTCAGTTATTATTTTGTTACTTATATTTTATAATTTACTCTACTAGGATGTCCTTTGACTTCCAAGGTGTCCAAATTATGTGTAAAAAGTAAGATATTAAATGACATCTTACACTTCCTCTAATGTTTAGTTAACAATTTTAAGGTTGCACCAACTGTCCTTCACTAGCTATTTTATATATATATATATATATGTATACAGTCCCAATGCAAAAAAGTTTTCCCTCAAGAAATTTAAATTAAAGAAGAAAGAAATTGCATCAGAATACATGTTGTCCCTCGAGATGGTCTTAGCAATCTTCAGATATCACATTTTTAATTCCAGCACTGTATTTGCTGTACTGAAGTTTTACTTTCTTTTTTCTACTTTTATAGCAATTAAATATCCATTTTTCCTTAATTATGTTGTCTCAAAAGGAGTTTGCTTTAACAGTTAAGTCAGTGGCCTGAGACTGAAAGATTCTAATTTAATATCACCTTCCATTGGCAAGGTCTTCACTATGTTTGTATCCCTAATAGAAAGCCTGGGAGAAATGTTCTTTTGCAAACATTGTTAACAATTACATCTTGTTAGCAGCAGCAACTGCAATTTCTTTTGTGCTACAGGCAATGCACATGCGGAGAAGAGACCTTGACGTGTGTCTCAAAAGCAGAATTATGTCCCCTGGCCTGTCCCGTGTGGTCTTAATCCACATCAACTTCCTCTGTAATGGATGTACCTTGTCTGCTTAGCAGAGTCTGGAGTGGATCCAGGATAACCAGGATAGCTGAAATGATCATAGACACTCTCTGGCCCTTTTTTCATCCATTTTCAGAAACAGATATGTTGTTGGGTAAAGAATATTGAAAGGACAGATAAGAACAACATTGTGTTATATACTGCTTCCTTTAGCATCAAAGGGATTGGAACAGTTGAAATAAAGAAAAGTTAAGGGACTGTGGTGGAGCCTATCTCTAACACCTGTGGTAGAAATCAAAACTTTATGTGACTTAGAAAATAAAAGGAAAATAATGGTTTTCACCTAAAAAGGATCTAATATTTTAATTCTATAATATCTATTGTATTGTTAGATCTGTTGGCACAATTACCTTTTAAATTAAACTAATTTAAGAAATAGCCAAATCTTTCTAATTAAATTAAACCAGAAGATCCCAAGTGTATTTTTAGAAAACATGACACAAAGACTACACAGTGAAAATTTCATCCAAAAGAATTATAAACTATCAAAGCAAATAAACAAAAGAGTAATGATGAAAACCAACAAGTGGCTTAAACCACAGATATCATTAAAATATGGCTGTATAGCATATATTATATTATTTCCTTATTTCAATATCAAATTGTGCTAATATTGTCCAAAAATTATTTCATGTCAGTAATTGCAAAACATTCTGACACATGAAAAAAATATAGACTTAATTTTTAAGATACTATACATTTTTCTGTTTTGAATGCAAAGTCTGCATTATAATTTTATAATTTACCTTACACTAGGTAAAAGTAGTTACATTTTGCTTCTAAATATATATGGCTTTCCATAGTAGATTTGTGACTTTGTTCTTTAATTTTAAACTACATTTCTTAGAGTATTTTGTGAGCAAGGCCTTCTTTCATCCTCTCTCCACTACATAAAAATAATTCCAAGAATAGATTTTCGTTGTCTAGATCTTTCACTAATGCATTTTTTATTCTGTAAAAATGCAGAAATTCTGAACTCCAGTCACAGCCCTATATTCATTTTATATAAGTACTTGGTTCAACACTTCCAATAGAAAAATGCTGAGCATTGATACATGTCTTTAGACCTCGTAAAACTGAGTCCACAGATCAATTTTTGCATTTTAGTGCAAATTTATCCATGTAGAAAATAAAAGTAGTTTATCTGGAGTGCTTTGCAATCACAACTGATTCTAAGTAAGATTTAGTCTATTAAAAAACAATGCTATAATCCAAAAGCTGTGCAATTCCCACCAGTTTCATAGCAAAATTATTTGCAGAAATGAACAAGCTGACAGCCACTCAGTATTATAATAACAAATCAACAACTATTAAATATCTCTGGGCTATATTCTACTGGATGTTTTTTGGCTACAGCCTATTTGAAGAGTCTGAGCTTTAAAAATAAATTGTACCTATACTTCCTAATAGAAATGTTACAAAAGAAACATGGTATGCAAATATTTTTCCAGTGTATGTAATGCACTATTCTTTGAAAAACTCATTTATTAAGAAATTGCCATTTCACATTTGACATCTGACAAAAGTAGAGGCACACATTTTCTGTGGTCTGAAAGACTTTGCAGTTGCTAGTTGGGGGATTATAAAGAGGAATGGGAACAGAAATGTGAATAAAAATAAGAAAAAAAAGATATTTCTGATACAGTAGAGTGAAGAGTAACAAAACAGGGAGTATTTCCTACTGTTCCTTTAAAACAAGAAAAGTTTCACTCTTGATGTCACCCTCAGAAATTGTGGCAATCACTTGCATAAGTTTAGCTGAAGCAATCACAAGCATTCTGTCAGAGCTGGGGGTCTTGCAAAAAATTGATTGATAGCATGGAAATTTTAATGTGCAAGTTGAACACAAAACAAGCATAGTGAGTATTTCCTCTGGCAAATCTAATCTAGAAATTTGGAATTTCACAGATAAAGAAGTTAGAGGGTGGACTCTGATGAAACAACAAAGCAGATTCACTTTCTAGAGGTTTTGAGGGCCTTTGGGTTTGTCTCTGCCTTTTGTGGCTTTTGCACTGGATGCACCCTGATAAATGTGTTAAGTTTGATTTTAGAATATAATAAATAAATTAAAAAAAAAAAAAATCTCTTACCTGTGTAACTTCAGGGCCTTCTAGGCATAAATGAATGGATATTGCAAAAGTTGCATGAAACACGGGATGCAGAGAAATAAGAGTTCTGTTTTACTTCACAGATCCTGAGAAAACTCTAGGAGTTACAGCTTCCTGCCAGTATAAGTCAGTTCTGCTTCTACTTTTGAAAACTCACAGTATGACACTGCTTACTGCGTGCTATTTTGGGTGCCCTGAGTGAAACTATGAACACAGGCACTTTTGTGCAAAACATCATAAAGCCTCTCTGATGTTCATTCAGAGTCCAGAATTAAAATGCAGAAGGCTCTAGCAAGCAAAATACAAGCTGATTTTCTTCTTCCTAGTGGAAAAATAAAGTACTCCCTGGCAAGTAACCAGGGTGGTGGGAAGGTAATTTATTTTGTGTGAGAGCATTTTGCAAGTGAAAGGATATGGCCTCTGTTTAGAGATTAGTCAGGGAAAAAAGTGGTCAATTTAGAGCAGTCACAAAAGTTAGTTAAAGAAGAGAGTTTTTTTAGTCTGAGTTTCGCCCTCTGGCCATTTTTTTTTTCCACCAAATAATTTAGTTTAAAGAATCATACAATCTTCATGCTGAGAAAAAAAAAATACATGCCCAAGGTATTGGTTTATCTCTTTACATGTTTTTAGAGACATTAAATGAATGTCTTTTATTTTGTTATAATTCTCTGTGAAAATTGAATTTTATCTACTAGCCAGTATTGGGGGTCTTATAGTCAAATGAAAAATACAATAAAAATGTTATAATTCAAAAGGCAAACACAAAAAACACCTAAAAATATTGTGGAATAATTATGCAATAGGTGATAATTTTTCATAGACACCAGCTTTTATCTTAAGTAAATTTAGGAATTTTTGAGCATTAATTCAAATATTCATTGTGCTATTAAAAAAGAATGAGGATATTTGGTGAAAAAACCAAGAACTGCGTATTGCAGTAGCACTTCAGTAATTATTATGGAAGACATGTTTATGGTTGAATAATTTAGAGCCTAATGCTACATCAGTTACAGCTCCAGGCCAAGAAGATTTTTGAGCAGTCCTAAATGGAAAAAAACAAAGATGGAATTTTTGCAGACAAAATGTGTCCTGTTAATGATAAAGCTAAAATTTAAAAAAGCTCCAAGCCACCGATCTCATCAAAATTCTCTCTCCCTTTTTCTCCTTCTTCAAACAGTCTGAGAAAATGTAACAACTGTTTCTATGTGGAAATGGAAAATTTCTTATCTGTACTTCTGTCACATACATGGTACCTTTTTTTTTTCCTTTTTTTTTTTTAATAAGTTATGGACAGCTAAGCAGATCTTAGTCAGATATTCAGGAATTTCATGTGCAGAACAAAAGAGACAGCAAATGAGGAAATGATGAGACCATGGTCTGCAAAGGGAGCAGTTCTGATTGATGCAGATGTGAAGTCTGGTGCCTTGGCTAACACTGAATCCCTGTTTACTGCATTTACAACTAGATGTCAAGGTCAAATTAACTTCTACCAAATAAACACAACACCCCTAATATCACAGATTTTAAAACTTGAATGGGCTTGAAGTAACACGGGAAAACTGTCCACTCATCATGTCCATCCTGACAGTCAGAAAGACTTGCTCTATAGGAAAGTACAGTGTGAATTATCCGAGCACCTGGATTTTGGTAATATTATTCAGAATCACTTGTGTATCTTTTGAGGATTATCTCCTAAAAATTTATTGAGGATTATCTCATCCTAACGACTTTAGCATAAATTACATTATTTCTATATCAGGCTGGAAATGAATAGAGTTTATCAATTTATATACAGTTTTAGCTTTAAGAAGTAGACAGATCGGCTAATACTTTTTTTTGCAAATCAAAGTAAACATCATAACATTAATACAGCTTAAGGTTCTTTGACTGTGTTCCTAATACACATTATTTAACTATTTATGAAATTATATATCAAAAACAAGCTGACAGATTTCTTTTGTCTACTCTTACCTCAAGAATTTTTTGCCTGTACTAGACAAAATTTGATTTGTCTAAATTTTGACATTACTCTTGAGTAAGGGAATTAAAATTAACTAAGATCACATTTGCATCTTCTACACATTTTATCATGCTTGATCTTTTGTTTGATTTTTTGTTTGCTTGTTTCAAGAAACAGGAATGTTTGGTGAGAGCTGCTATTTAGTGAGAATGGTTGCTTCTTACTGTTTATTCATGGTCTGACACCAGCTCTGTACAGATTGAGGTAGAGCAAACCAGAAAAACGTGGAGTTGGACACTTAAGCTCTGTGGAAACTGAAGAAGTCTAATTGGAATTCAGAGATATGTTACCACTTACCACGTGGAAAAAACCAGCTTTTTTATGAACTATACTTCTCACTGACTTTCCTCTAATAAAGAAGAGGTGACACTTCATTCACCAAGGCAGAATTAACTAGAAACTGATGTAAGAATGGGGCAAACCTATTGTTGACAGTTGATAAACAAGATATTCTCATTTACTGAGAATGCTGGATCTTGCAACAGGATGTAATCTAAGTAAGATGTGCCATGTGAAGCAAACATAAATGAACACAAGGAAGCAAACAACAATAGAATTTCTTAGCTTGTTGAAGAACTGATGAAAGGGACTGGCCAGAACAATTGTTTTTGACAAGATGAAGATAGTATGCAGCTATAAGGAAAAAAAATAAAACTAGTCATATAGGCTGCACCTAAAAAAAGAAGTCAATTGAAGGCTAATTAATGAAATTATGAGCAAAATTTTCTCAACTCAGAATAAAACACATACTTATTCCAGTACAGTGTTCTCAGGTGATAAGTAGTCTCTACTTCTCCTTGTGTAGGCATGTGTTAATGATCAGCAGACTTTTCAATATTAAACTAGAGATGAAATAATTTGGACTACCACCTCTGAAGGAAAACTTTTTCTCTGCTATCTCTTTCCTGATCTCATAGACCATGATATTTCCTGCAAAGAAGGATTTCAGCTAAATGGGAGAGTCCAGTAAAATAACAACTCTACTCATCACCTGAGCAAAACCTTTCAGGAGGTTTGGAGGAGTTGAAGAAATTTTTATTACCTAAATAAATAAATAAATGAGTTATTATATAGACAATGGTTAATCTGTTTGAAATATTTTCTTTCACTGTTTTTATTGTAATTTAAAATAGGAATTTTATCCATCCAAAACCTAGAACTTAATTTAAGTGTTTTCTTAGAGGTAAGAGCATAATAAATTTGGAATTAAAATATCTATATAATTTAAGACTTGCTTACTGATCAGACAGTTATAATGATATTTATTCATTTCTTTTAAATATAAACCTGAAATATAATGATCAACCATATTTCATGGATATATCTGTACATGCTATAATGATTTGAAGAGACAGTCTTAAGAATTCAGAAGAGTTAATTACCTTTTTTTTTTTTTTTTTTTTTTTTAAGGAAAATATATTCAATTTTCCAGAAACTGAACAAAAAAAAAACCAAAAAAAAAGATGGAAAAATGCAAGAGGATTGCTTGGCTTTTAAAAAAACAAAGAGCACCATACAATTTATTTAAAGAGGTTGTTTTTCATTCAAAGAGATAGCATTTACTTAATTGGACTGATCTCATAAGATTTCACTCCCTTAGGTTCGCTCAGTGATCTGATATCAGAGTAAGTTGAATTTATTCAGTGGAGGGAAGGAAGTATGGAGGGGAGAGGGAAGAACCCATGATTTCAATGGGGATGATTTTCCCATATTACCTCTGTTCAAATCATGGCTCTTGTGTTTGGAATTTGCATCTGGAATTTTCATCAAGCTAAACAGAATTACTCCAGGATGGGTAAATAGCCAGCACAACACCTCTGGAAAGTGAAAGTGCAGTAAAAATGGGAGTTTTCTAGCTCACAATACCTGTGAAGCCATTCATAATATCTGTATCTCTGGAGATTCAATACTGAATTTGTGGGATTTGTGGCGTTTGTTTTGTTTTGTTTTGTTTTGTTTTGTTTTGTTTTGTTTTGTTTTGTTTTGATCTTTGCCATTTCTAGACAGAATTTTTAATGGGATTCTGATATGCAGCTTTTCCTAAAGATAGTCTTATTTATAACCACTTAAGGGAGGTGTAGCTTCAAGAGGAACCAAGTGGTACCAAGAGAGAATAGAAAACAGAGAAGTGAGGCCTGGAGTGCTTCATAGGCTAAAATGAAATAACATTTTCTTTCACTCCTGAGCAGTCTCTTGTCACTATACAAAATAAATATACAATGCTGAATGAAAGAATTTATTTTTCTTTAATGCATCCTTTCTCCTCTTATTTTCATTTTTAATAATTTTACAACTAGAATTTTATTCCCACTAAAATATCTTCTGAGTCACAGCCTCTGGAAGAGAAGATAGAAATTACACAAATCACTGCAAATACAAAAATGCATGGATTAATCTACAGTACTAATGAGAGTATTTTTCACTGAATTATCTGGACTCTATTTAAAAATAATTTTGTGTCTTTAAAATATTATTTAATGATAATCTTGTGCATTTTTTTGCTTTCTAATGGCTTTTTTTTTCCAGAGGGAAAAAAGTTTAATGAATTGCAACAAAATATAATTGCTTGTGTGTGTACTTAGTTGCTTGTGTGAAAAGTCTGTGGAAATGGTGCATAGTCATTCATTAAAAGAATCTGAATATCTCACAGTAATCAGACCTTTCCAAAGATTTTTCCTTTCTCTTTTGCTTTTCTTTACCCTGTCCTTTTCTTTTCTCAGGGAATACTGTTATGATAGAATACACTGGTTTTGGAAAATAATATGCAGACTCCTGATTGTCTTTTCCCCCTCTGTTTCTATTTCCATTACAAGATAGAATCAAATGTGAATGAATTCAGAGCAGGTAAATCTTTGAGATGATCCCCTCAAGGAATGGAGTTCTCTTATTGTCTTACTATTAAACAGTGTTTAGATATAAATTGAATGAAATAGGGGATGTCATCTCATCTCTTTATTTAGCCTGAGGTCTCATGTTGATGATCAGATCCTAAGAGCCTGAATTGGGCTGGTATCTGTAAGTAACTCATTCATATTCTCCAGCCTCCTGCAGAGAAGACAGTGCCTGTCAGGAGATATAGATCGTATGTAGTGCAAGTTGGAATTCAGTGTGAATAACAAAATAT